ATCATATTTATATAAATTAAAAGGTGATTTACAAATGGCAATTCATTATGTTAATTTGGCAAGTCAAAAATATAATGAAAAGATCAATAAGAAAATTTTTAAAAAAATAGAAAAGTTCAAAATAAATTTATTAAAATTGGAAAATATTCAAACAAATGAATTAATATTTTTGAATAAAAATCAAATGAATCTATTGCAAATATTTAATTTAATAAGAAAATTTCATTTCGAATCAATTTCATATTTGACACTTGGATTTGATCTATTCAAAGAAACATCATCAAATGCACTATTGAATTGTTTATTTTATCATTTAATTGAAGAAGATGATATTGAAGATTATTTAAAAAATCACACGAATAATTTAACACAAAAGTATCATAATTTTCAAAATCAACGAATCAACGAAAAAGAATTTATGAAATCTTTTAATATGAAATTTGGAACAAATTTCAAATGTTTTCATATCAATGAAACAGTGAATTGGAATGAATTTATTCTTAAAAATAATGAAATACCAATAATTTTGATGAAAGATTTATTTTGATTATTATTTTGAGTTGCATTTATATATACACTTACATGTGCGCTGTTTATATATATGATAAGACGTGACATAAACCACCGCACAAAACAGCAAAGAAATATTTCCGTCTGCTACGATGACCTTTTTTACTCCACGGAACGCTGATAACATATTTTTTAAAAACTAATCACACCATTCGATAGTTCAAGTAATTCTCTATATTTTTTATGTGAGCTCTTGTTTTCTCACACCGCTACTTTCAGAGTAAACAGACATTTCAAAAGAAATTTTCTCTCGAAAATCGACAGTATCGAAAGTTTTTGCTCGAAATTCGGCAAAAAAGATAAAATTAGTAGCGCGCAACGGTGAGCGAAGCCGCGGGTTCCTTGCTAGTAATTCATCAAATGAACGGTAAACATCATTTATTGTTGATATATTATTGGATTTAAACAGTGTTCTAATACAATATTCAATTAATTCACGAGAATCAGTAGGAACGAAAGGAGTATCGAAAAAATGGAAACTTGTTTAGAAATATATACAATTGTGTTTGTTAGATGTTTGTTGATTTGTCTTGCAAAGATGAAAATTTTGTACCATAATTCCTGATAGTGACATACTGGGTGCCAGTCCTGGGATTCGTAGAAAATCCGATACAACGCCCGAAGCGTATAAAATCAAGGTCTCGCTTGACTCTCAATTTGAAAAGGACACCCTGGGCTATCAGTCTGTGAAAACAAATCAATACAATCCTATTGGAAAATTTTTACACGCGAGCTAATTTTTCAAAGATCCGCTGGAAAACCTGTTCCAGAAAGCTCTTCTGGGGAAATTTTTGGTTATGAAAACATGTCCCCAAATCTCCTCTTTCGAATGGTGAAAATTGAAGCTCTTTAGCTTTTTTCTATCGAAAGTTATTCAAAAAACAGTCATATACCATTCTTTCTTTGGATGGACAATAATATCTCTCTCTCTTTCTCTGTTGATTGGTCTTGTAATAAAAAGGTGAATACTTGTTGATACAAATAAACATTAAACAAAAAAACATTTTGATGTTCATTTCAGCCGACATTTGCCGACCAAACTGTATTGAATGAAAATAACACTTTTTGCCCCTTACGCTTATGATCTTATTTGATCTATTCAAGAAGTACTGTATCAAAAAAATCACTGAAAAGCTACTTTAAGAATATCTATTTTGTTTTTCAAATAAGGTTGAATTTAAAATCTTTTATTCAGATATCAATAAATGTGCAGTCAGGTTGGAGTTAATCTATGCGTAAATCTATCCAACAGGGAAAAAATTATTTCTCATATCCTATTCACTGTTTCAGTAAATTTGTTTTCATTGAAGTAGGAGTAATTCTTCTACCCATTGTGTGAGTAAATTTAAATGGCATCTCGTAAATAGAGAATTCCATTATAAGTTTAGAAACCTCTGTTTTGATGAAAGGTTGGTGTGAAATTCTTCAATTTTTTCTCGTACTACTAGCCGTATGAAAACGCTCAGTATTCATTCTTCCTTGTGAATTCAAGAAACGAGTTCCGTAGAATTGACTCTTTTAGAAAAGACAGAATACTTCCTACTCAAAATGCTCATTCGGCTTGACGAGTGCGAGTAGATTGAACAGAATATTACCACTCTCTGTTTCATCAATTTTGTGACGCCGTTGATAAGTGTCTCGATATAACAAATGCTGTATTACAAGACCAATCAACAGAGAAAGAGAGAGATATTAGTAGCTTTTTCACGAACGAAAAATGGCACGTATATCTGTACACTTTCGAAATTCTTTTTTTGCATGCAGTAGAAAAATGTTGTTCGTGCTCATCACTATCAGGAATTATCGTACAAAATTTTCATCTTCGAAATGAACGGATCAGGTGAAATCGCAGATAATGAAATTCTACGGATCTATAAGATGAAGATGTAATCTATCTCTATGCTCGAGAATCTGATATATACCAAGAATTTTTAAAAGAAGATTTTGTACGATATTTAGTAAAATATATTGATACTGTAGAAGAATGTTACGAAACACTTTAACGTTTGTTTATCTTCGGGGGCAGATTGGAACAGCAAAAAACGATAAACGATAAAAATAAGCTTTTGTGAAAGAAAGTTGAAAGCAGAGGTGTCTTTTGTTTCGAATTTCGAGTTCACAATATATATATATATATATGTATATATATTTGTATTTGATTTACCTTTACGTAACTCCTATTTTAAAAGCATCAAATCAGATGGGACACAATACGTCCGCTGTGATGAACAGAAAAAGGAGGAGTTTTTTAGTGATTATTTGATAGTGGTATTGAATTCTGGAGATATTGCCATGGATCTCTACCGGTCGCGGTCTAGTCGCAACATGTCAAGTAACAGGTTGTGAGACCTTCGGACCCGGCACCCCAATCGGCACTAGAAAATTCTAGAAAATTAGGGACATTCCCAAACGATGTAGAAAGAAAGATCCACCATTTTTAAATCATTTTGGAAAACAGTAAATATCCTTATAAATATTTAGGCAGATAGGTGGATGATCTTATTCTTATATCTAAACTACCACAATCACAAGTGAGGTAACTAGTTACTGATATAAATTCTATAGATAAAAACATCTAGTTTACTTTTGAATTTGAATTAGATTATAAGCTCCTATTTGTAGATGTTAACTTTCGTTCAGATAATAGGAAATTAAAAACGTCATCTAACATATGTTTTTCAAAATGATTCAAAAATAGCGCATCTTTTCTTTGTCATGTCATTTGGGAACGTCCATATGTTAGATAATCGGTTTGTAATCAGTTCCTATGATACATCCAAAAACGAAGGTTAAAAACTTTATTTTTGATCCTAGTGAACTGTCAATCTCGTTGAAATATTAACGAATGTAAATTAGATTCAAAATTTATTGTATATTTATGGACTTATTGTACAAAAATATTACATCTCATCTAGCTTGGTCATTATTCAGTTAAAATTCCAGAAAAATTACGATCAGTTAAAAAGTTTACTTATATATATATATTAAAACTCTGTCAGATGATCCTATAGCAACTTTTAAAGATATGTTACTACATGTCAATAACAATGTTTCCTCTATAATGCAAACATGTGATGATATATATCGACTTATCTAATTTTTTATCTATACAAAATACACCCGAATCGAATGGTCAAACATCGTTAGCGAGCGTCCACATATTACATAATCCAGTTCTTCAACCTTTTACTTTTCTGTCACCCCCGTAACATAATCAATCGTAATCATTCGAGTTTCCCCTCGTCTGATGATGTAATCATTAAAAACATTTTCATTTTTCGTGTTGTAGTTGCAACGCAGAAAAGCACAGATTTTTTCCTTAACACTCCGAACACCTTTTTCGTACACAAATATATGTTTTACTTGAATGTNTTATAAACTACGCTTCCACCCACTCCCACCCCCAAACTAATGTTTAATCACATGGTTGGATAGAGGATGCCGAGTTATCTTCACCCTAATCCATATTTTTTCTGTTGTTGCAATACGGGGTGGCTGGGAGACATTCGTAAGCCACACTCTCACCCACTCCCAGCAAATATTATACATGGTAGGATAGAGCTCGACGAGCTCTATCGCGTAGTTTACGGATACCTCCTAGCGAGCGTCCACATATTACATAATCCAGTTCTTCAACCTTTTACTTTTCTGTCACCCCCGTAACATAATCAATCGTAATCATTCGAGTTTCCCCTCGTCTGATGATGTAATCATTAAAAACATTTTCATTTTTCGTGTTGTAGTTGCAACGCAGAAAAGCACAGATTTTTTCCTTAACACTCCGAACACCTTTTTCGTACACAAATATATGTTTTACTTGAATGTGTATTTTGTCCTGCTTCAAGCTGTCAATTCATTGTGCGAACTTCTTTCTTCAAGTATTCACATCCCCTCAAACTTTGGATGTTACGTTTGTTGTATGAATTGTAGAAAAAAACAAAATAACAACTACGCTGAAGAACTATTTGCAGATAACGACTTGATTTGTTCCACTCTGTGATGCTACAAAAGCGGAGTTATGACTTATATCCCTATCAGGATAAAATCCTGATCGGCCTATACGATTATCCAGATTGGGCTACAAATTTCGATCGGGATAATTTGTATAGCCTGATCGGTCTATATAATCAATCAATCAATCATTTTTCTGGCCTCCGCTTAAAAACCAAATAAAAAACGGACAATGTCATTCGAAAGAGGATTCAAAACTGATTCAGATTCCATGGGTGTCGGCTATATGTAACCTTTGGGGTACTGCGTAAAAATTCGATCAAAAATCGCGTATTTTAATTATTTTACAAAATATATCCGGAACGGCTGTTTGTGATTTTTTTAGAGAAACTTTCGTTTTGGAGAAAAATAAAAGCTGATTACTGGAAGCCAAAACTGCCATCTGATAGAGCACTCAGAACTGCATATGAATTCATGGGGATCTCCAAAGTATCGAATAATGATAACCTACCTCAAAATATAGCATCCGTGGCTATTGTTTGAATAACTCCAGAACGAAGAGAGATAGAGACCTGCAGTTTTCAGCATTTTATAGAGGAGGCTTTACTCCATCTTTTGGTATACGGGGGCTTTTACGAATCGGATTTTTAGGCGATGTACCTGACATGTGAAAAAAGAAGAGGTTGTTCGGTACCGAAGGAAAAATAATTTTTTCACTAAAAACTTTTGTCTTTTCATTGACGGCTTTTAAGCCTCACTTAAGACAATCAGTGGATGATCATATTTACTTTCAAGACTTTTTGAACATGTTTAGTAATATAGCTGGATCGGGATACAGTCATATCTCGAACGGAATATATATCCCGGTTCCAATCTTGAGTATATCTCTATATCGATATAATCGCATAGGCCGATCAGGATATATATCGTTTATTGATCGAAGGACACATTTAACTAAACTGCACTGAACTGAATTTTTATTTTGGCAGGCATGATTGTTACAAAGGAAAGATAGCTGATGCTAATGCAACACCGAATACAATACTAGAAACTAACGGACAAATTGAACTGATAGATAAATATTCAATTTTAAATAATTCTTTACTTGAAAAGATTATTTTTAAATTGTTTTCATATGAATTTAATTGTGCATGCATTTACTATGCATGTATGTACTATGGCATTTTGAGTAGAATTCAAATGATGTTGAAATTTTAATTTCAAAATAAAGTTCATACAATGTAAAACTACTCGATCTAATAACATGGATAAAATGTTATGCCCACATATATGCATATACCTTTATTAATGGTGTAAAACAAAAGATCATGTTGAACATTGGCAACTATTACATATCAATTCAGTCGAGAAATTTTAAAATCGTTTTCGGCCAAAACTGATCGCAGATTCGGACTCATCATAGTCGGTTACCTTGTACGCAAGAAGTTTTGAATCGGAGTACTCCAGAAAAACTTTTCTCTATTGTTTTGCAACAGAACTTTTACGAAGATCCTCGAGGAGATCAAGGGCTAAATAAGGCTAAGAGAGTATTCACATTTAAAACTTGTTGCGTACAAGGTAACCGATTATGGAGAGTGCGAATCTGCAATCAGTTTTGACAGAACACGCTTTTAAAATTTCTCGACTGAATGAGAGCAAAAAAGTGCTTAAACGAAGCGGTGTAACTTAAAAGTCAGGGCCTCGGGATTGTTCCGAACTTGCAAGAATTTTTTTGGAAACCCGATACCGATCCTGATTTTTCAAAAGTAAACCGACCCAAAGCCCGTTCGAACCCGAAAAAGATTTTTCCAGTAAAGCAGTGCCCTCTTTCATTTCAATCAGAGTGATGGTACTTTTAATGACAGTGAAAATGAGCAGACTTAAGAAATGACTTTTTCTATTTCTACGTTTGTGAGAAACGTTTAGCAGTCTCAGAAACAGATGTTCTCTTCTTATTTTTGTCTACAATAAAATAGTAAAAGTTTACCTGAAAAAAATAAATGCAAAATTTAATCGGGTTCGCGTTTCTTTAAACAAGAAACCCGATCCCAATCCAGACCCGTTGACTTGAAACCCGATTCCGAACCCGAACCCGCGGGTTTGGATTCGGGTTAAACCTGCAGGACTCTAGCCCTTTTCGCATTTCAAAGGTGAACCGTTTTGTTCTTTAAATAGTGCATTTTTCAGACGTTCATACGCTTAAATTTCTTCAGGCAAGCACTTATATAAAACTCAACCACATACTGTGCTCTTTCGTGTATATTTGATCAGCTCTAATCAACGAAATTAGAAATTTTAATTTCGTTCTTTCAATGTGAGTAGACTATGTATAGAAGACGTGTTTGTGTGCAGCATTGATTTTGCTATAATTTGTACCGTTTACGAAAAAATCTTTTTTTGATTTGGTGAGATTGATGCAAATCTTTCCACTTACTTGCACATGTCTTATCTGCATCGAAAATCAAAACCAATGTTTTGTCTTATTGTTGTCGTATAGTTAATACAATCATCTGTTTTTCTCCTGCTGTCATAACGGCGCATGTATGTGTAATCGAAAAGCATGTTTTTCTTCTCTCTTTTTCTCTGAATAAATCAGAAAGCGTTAGCTGTATGATTTTTTCTCTTTGGATTATAAATTAAGTGATAAAATTTATCTTGAAATATTTGCATAACTAAGCGCTGTGACTGACACTCTACTGCCTTGGAAGCTGCACGTCTAAAACATTGTCCGTATCATATCAAGACTTTTCAGTTTCAGCATCACCAGCGTCGGATGTTTGATATTTTACTGAAACTGGTACCTTTTTATGGAATCAATACTCGAGTTTCTAGTACAACAAAATCATGTTACCTTTGACAACAACAGCAAATTCTGCTGCATCTTCAACATCTTTCTTCCGTACCATGTCATGATCTTATACGTAAAAGAGCTGCAGATAAAACAGCAACTAAAAAGATAAAAGTACATGGTAATTATGTAACCTTTCTACTGGCATGTCAATATGGCTTACTAACAAGGGGGAAAAAACAACACTTCACTACACTACACTACACTTTTTCCACTACGGTAGTGGTGTCGTAGTGATTTTGTAGTGGTGACGTATTGGATGTGTAGTAGATGAGTAGTGGGCTCCAGTGGTTGTGTAGTGGGCTGCAGTGGTTATATAGTGGGCTGTAGCTAGCTGTAGTGGATGCGTAGTGCGCTGTAGTGGTTGTGTGGTGGGCGGTAGTGGATGTGTAGTGCGCTGTAGTGAACAATCCCTTGTAGTGTAGTGTTGTTTTTTCCCCTTTGCTTACTTTTGAACACATTCTCAGTTGGTGGAGTTGTTGATATGAAATCTACTTGTCCGAAACTTTTAAAGGAAACAGATTTTGAAGATTTAAAAAATCTTACTTTATCTAGGCCTGTAACCTTTTTGTTTGTGGCTCCATTAGCGAAAGTATTTGTGATTGTAAAACAAAGTGTGCCACGAAAATATGCTCATGCAGAAAAGCAGCAGCTGGTTGCTCCACCAAATGTCATTCAAAAAACAGTTCATGTCAGTATATGGAAAATTAGACAGACACTTTGTAAATAGTAGATTTGTGATGTAAACGGATGCAGAACATCGATTAAGATAAATCCGACGTCAATAAGTTTCCTAAACCATGCTATAATTTAATTGCTATTCTTGATACTTGCGAAACAGAGCTCTCTCACAATTACTTAAATCATTCGCTCGGAACAACTTCAATTTCTCAACATTGGAGGTACACTTTATTTTTGGATGAAAGAGTTACTACTCCTTACACTTAGTCTTTAAGTGTGGAAATTGATTTGATTTAGTTTGATTCTTCTATTAGGTATTGGGATGTTTTCGATACCGTCTGTAAGGATATTATGACATCTACGTCTAACTGGGCCGAAATCAACGTAAAACGTCTCCCGTCCTTCGAATATAGTTTCCAGTGTCGTTTTTATTCTTTTGTCTAGTTTAGAAGAATTCCGGTTTCATATATCTTGATGAAGAAAAATCCATGGACAGAGAAGAGTACATATTATAGTGACATTCTACATGCTTCACAACGCATATGTTTTTCAAAAGATGGAATAAACCAGCCTTTGCATTCCGACTTTGTGCATTTGAGTTCTTTTACCAAAGCCATATAGGACGTATCAAGATCTCCTCTTGACTCTTTGAAACAGCGTGCACAATCACAATCAAAGAAAAATTCATCTTTCAATCTTTGTTTCCTTTTTGCTTGACTCTTGACGATTTCATCAACATCAACTTGTTCTTTTGTATAAAGTTCATATTCGCGCTCCAAATAGCTATAACATACTTCTTCACCTTTTTTCAGAAAGCGCGTTGCAAAGAACACAACATCACCTACACGAAAATTGTCTGTATCTTCTTGAACTGGGAAACGTGCTAAGTTCGGTGAGCATGAGTGATTGACGAAAGCAGCAGATGGATACATTCCCATTGCATACGTTTGAGGTGGCTGAGAGTATCCTTCGAGAGCGAAAGTAATATGAAATAATGCGTTTATCTCTTCGATACAAATAAGTATGTACACTTTAATTAGTAGACATTTTGTTACTTCCATCATGGCGGCATCATCCAAGGGTAAGCATAAATGAGTCATTTCAGTTAACCAAAGGTCAGAATCATTAATTTCGATTTTTTCGACATCTATACTGTCAGGCAGAAAGGATTGAACAAAATCAATAAATTCATGATTGTCTTTTATTGAATGAGGAATGAGTCTAGTTAATATATATTCCGTTAGGATTTTGGCCACCGTTTCAAATTCATTCTTTTTCTCCATTGCAAATTTATCGAAGTGTGACCGCCCTATCCAAATGTCTTCCATTGACACATCGTACGGCATGCCTAAGACTTCCTGTAATCGGTGGGTAAGCATACGCATAACCAGTCGAGCATAATTAATAACCTCATCATTAAAACCAAAATCTTGTAAGGCGAATATTTTATCAAGAAACGGACATTCGTACTGGTGAAATTTGTCCCAATGCTGTTGTTCACATTTGTTGGAACAGTAAAATACATGAAGACAACCTTGTTGGCACCCAATCATTTCCTTTATATCAGCTTGCTCTTTCGAAATATGCATACAGTTTGCGCATACGTAATCTTTGTTCGTCACGTATGGAAAGATTATATATGGTTTCCACACAAATAGAATGTCTCCTTGAAACACGGCTTGATTTGTGATGAAGCATCGCCCTTTCTGTTCCGTGCAGACAAGATCTACTTTGTTTTCGGTCATTAATCAGTTTTGACGAGAAAAGTTGAGTAAGCTAAGATCTTGTAAGAAATACTAAAAAAAGAAACAAGAGAAAATATATTTTTGATTCTCTTTCTGCTCCTCATTGATGTAACACGACAAGCAGAACTTGACTGAGAAACTTTACTCAAACCAGAAAAAATGTCTTCTTGTCTACAACTAGATGACAGAAAAACGCCATTCTAATTAGTTTTGTACAGATTTCTCAAAGGACATCTTTCTCATTCGTTTCTACAGCAGGTTGCAAAAACATATAATTCAGAATGAATTTTTGATTTTACATTTTTCTTTGGAAAAATAGATGTTCACAAAATCAGTCCTTTCATGAAAACTGATTCTCTAAAGAAGCACTTTTTTCAAAAATAACTGAAAATTCCCAAATGCTTGAGATTAGACTATTCATCAATCTTGCCACGGCCTGGCGTTTCAGCCATTTTTTAAAAAAAAGAACCAGTATGGAACTTTTTTCCTTTGCTAGTTACTCTTTTGATCATCTCGACAAGCCTTGTGTAATGAATCTCGCAAAAACGATTACAGATGTTATCGAAAGATGTTAGATGGCTGACGAAATCATTAAAGACTAGGAGAGACGCTCATTCAATCATCAGCTTTCGGACTTTACATCGAAATACAAAACTATCTCTCTGGATTTATTTACCAGTTTTTCGAAGCATTATAAATAAACGTCAACGTACGATACAAGGAACAAAATATCCCTTTACATGGCTGGGGTTTTTGAGCCGATTTCTCTTTTTAGGTATGCCTTGTGGATTGTCTTTCACCAGTAGTTATTATTTATTTTAAAATTGATAAATTGCGTTCGTGTCCAAAATAAGCGGTAAATCCATACTTTTCTTAATTTTACTGATGAGATAAGCGTTGGATATAAGGAAAAATATCTTCTGGGAGGTATTTCTAGCATAAACGGCTTAATAAACTGCATAAGCGGCTGTTTTTTTTTACTTTTGATAAACGGTCAATCCTTTTATGCAGTTTATTGAATTAAGAAAGAATCAAAATTTAATGGAGCATTTTTATCACATTATAAATTCGCATTTCCAAAGAAGAAAGTGCACCATAAACATGGAAATAAGGTGCAGTGGTAGAGAGGTTTCGAAGAAAAGGCGTACTACGCTGGATTTTCACCACTGATGACATTCTGCAGTTTCTTTTGCAATTATTTTAATCAATTGATTTCAAGTTGAACCTCACCAAAGACATTCCTAGTATTTAGTTAGATGACATATTTTAAAGCTAGTAACGGTGTCTGTCGGATGTCTCGATTTCGTCAGGCAAACATTTTTTCCAGTGAGTGAAGCAAATGGAACCGATCTCTTGACGAAATTTATGTATACTTAAAATAAAAATTTTTTAAAATTTCAGGTAAATGATCTATTAGATAAAAATGTGGATCTGTGCCTAAGGCAGGCGAAATTTTCAATCCTTTCTTTAGAAATGTTCTCGAAAATCAGAGCACGACAAAATGAGAGTTTTCGATCTCGATCCAGATCAAAAATCTTTCTTGACGAATCGTCTGTTTCCTGTCGGCTGCATTCCTGTATTATACTTTTTTCTGGAAGAACGCGGTTACATTTTCTGATATATCTTGACACAATTACTTTTGTAATTCGATCAATGAGTGATGGGCTCTTCCATTACTCTTTTATCTGTCTTTTCCACTTCTCATCCAATCTCAAGACGAAGATCGCTTGTTATTTTTTTCCTTTCCCCCGATTTTGATCTTTTATTCTCTCAGCGTGCATAAAAGGAGCAGTCAGAACAAATCTAAGAATGGTGTTATCCACTACTCTAGCACACTGTTATATCGGCTATCTCTGTTCGCGACATGGTATCGAAAGAAGAATAAGCTCATTTTTTTCGAAGCTAACTACTCATCGTTGGAGAGAAAGATATACGTGAGCTTTTTTAAGAAACAAATGCTGGCATTTTCAAGGACCTGGATTTGAGTATTTATAAACTACGCTTCCACCCACTCCCACCCCCAAACTAATGTTTAATCACATGGTTGGATAGAGGATGCCGAGTTATCTTCACCCTAATCCATATTTTTTCTGTTGTTGCAATACGGGGTGGCTGGATTTATGTAGTTTCGGTCATAGTAGCGTTAAGACCAGTCGAATACCTTCAAAAAAGAAGACAAAAAGTACGAGCTTGAGTGTGTTGATCTCATCCCCAAACCGATGAATAGGATAAATAATCTCAAAGATACGGTGTCTTAGAAGGTAAAGACAAAGCAAACACTTGCAGCCAGGAAAGAGCTTGCCCAAGAATAGAGAAGCTAATAATGGTGCGCACATATAAGTGATAGAGGATGAACAAAATAAAATAAGACATAAAGTCGGAGGCATATACTTACTGAAATCATTATTGTCAGTGAGTGATGAAAATGAAACAAGCGAGGAGACACAAATAAGTTGATGTTGACACGAAATGCAGGTGTGATTCTCTACTTCATAAACCAAAGAGAGTAAAATTAATAAGATAACGCAACGATGTCCCTTGAAGATGTGTGTGTTGGTTATTGATAACGACATAAAGAAAAAGCAGAAATAAGAGTTTGTGTTAATAAAATGCTTTCTTTGTTTTATCTTCGTAGTTTGAATCTTGCGGGTACATATAATATATATAGATATAATATCTGCTGCTGAAGTTTTCAAGAAATAGAGGACATATGAACCTTCCTCTTTTCTTTGAACAACTATATGCAGAAGCAATAAAGCCGCCTGAAGAGTCCTTTAAGGCGGTCCTTGCTTAATAAGCAAGGACGAAACGCGTTGCGGTAGGTTTTCTTCGAAACTCACCACCCACCCATCATCCGCAAGATTCAAACTACGAGGATAATACAACGCATTTTATTAACACAAACTCTTATTGAATTCTTAAAGATTATGATAGCAGACATCCTGAGTTATCCAATAGTGTGCTTTGCTTAGTATTGACATTTTTACAAAACGTTTCTTTTGGTATTACCAGTATCTTTCTTTATGACTCCGATAAAATTGAATCGAGATAACCATGGATTTCTCTTTAAGACTCGATAAAATACTTCATAAAACCTGGATGGATTTGTAGACTTTATAGGTATATAGAATATATTACGATCATTATGAGACAGGTTGAAAAATCGACTTTTTTTCCGCCAGACGGATAGAGCTGATACTTTGGGAAATTACTTATGAATATTAGTTACACATTTTATGAAAGTTTCATCTTTACACATTTAACGGCTGCAAAGATATCTTTTTTTATAGTTGACGCGAAGCGAGTAGCGTTTACTTCCATGGAACATAGCGCTCCTCCATTAAAGCAATTGTTCCAAATAATAAGATAATTTCGATTTTGATTGGTAATGGTTCATAACTTTTTTGAGCATATTTATCGACTAGGGTTGCTTTTTTTAGTAAGTTTTGTGTATCTATGTTCCTCGTTCGTCGCTTGGTAGAATTTGAAAAAATTCGAAATTGTATCAGAAATTCGAACTGATGTCGAAATCCCGCCAGGATCCTGCCAGGATTTAGCGGACCTTTTGGTAGGATCCTAGGAAAATCTTACAGAGTCCTACAGAAATCAGGTATACCGGAAAGTCGTAGGATTTGCTAGGATTCGGGTAGGATCCTGTTAGGATCCTAACAAGAATACGATGACTGAATCATAATGTAGCATTAATTGTTTAGGATTTTAGTAGGAAAAGATAATTCTTGAACAGGAATTTCATAGGATTGCTTATATGCTCCTATCTCTAGTGAAAATTTCTCCATCCGTTCCCATTAGTTGAGAATAAGAGTTTAAACCACGAGTCACCATTTATACATCTGAAATTAGAAATAAAATAGAATAATGTGTCAGTAAACTTTTTGTTGTTCAAGAGGGAGAAGAATATGCTGCAAGCGATGATTCTGACGTATAAAGAGGATGCTAATAGACGTACAATGAATATAAAGTCTTTTTCTGTTCGATATTCTACAAATTCACGGCATTTCTATCATATGATCTTACAGAACAGCCTCAAGTATATGTACGTACTTATAACAGAAAGAAAAAAAGCAACAACTATATGTAAACGAAAATAAAAAATGATTCATCCCTACTCCATGCATTTTTTGATTATCTCAGCCTTCACTCAAATATTCAACTGCTAATGCACATGTGTCATATTTATATGTTGACAGAAGTGTACACGGCAGAATGATTATCTAGACTTTCTAACAAATAGTTTTCTCTTTTCAGTAGAATAGTATAGTTGTTAAAAATTTGTCGGGAATCCGGTGGGAGTTTGCATAATTCTCTCGACTCCCGGAAAAAATAAAAATCCCATGAGACTCCCGGTCAACTCCCGTGCAAACCGGGAATCCTAAGGGACTCTTACGAGAATCCCGCAGGAATCCTACGGATTTTGCATTTTTTCGAGAGGCCCGCGGGATTTCTACCGGGATTATCGACTAGGGTTTCACCGGAACAGATGTTAATAATTTAATGAAAACACTTAATAACAACACTGACGGTTGGAATGGTGTCTCAGATCAGACGCTTCATTTTCTTCCATTATTTGAAAATTGGGTAAGAAAAGCCGGTTTCATTCCAGAAAAACGAATAGGTTTCGGATCGGTTGTTCGACATGGTTCAATATCCGTTCGTTTTTATCGAATGTACCTGAATCTTTTTTCCTATATCTTTGAAATGGTCCTATATTGTCCTGTATTTCAGGCACTTTGTCCTATATTTCCTATATTTCGGGGGGAAAGTGGCGAGTAATCTGAAATGAGTCGTAT